TATTTGTGTGGGTGGGGAGGGGCTATGTGCAAACTGATTTTCTGCTTAGTTTTGCTGTGAATCTGAAACTGCTCTAAAAAATGAAGTCTTTTAATTAAAAAAAGTAAAAGAAAAGAAAGGAAAGAGATGGGATTGTGTGCCTAGTGACATCTTGTTTGTGCAGGCATTGATTCAGCACATGCTGGTTCAGGATCAGCTTTGTGTGCCTGGTGCTAGGGATGCCGTAGTCCCTGCCCCCAGGAGCTTACTATGGAGTTGCCTGCAGCCCCCATCAATACTACATGGGGAGCATTGAGAATGGAGAGCTGAGTATAATTTCTAGGTCACCTCCTATTGTTAATCACCTTTCAGATACACTACAATCTCTGTGTGTCATTTTTTAAAAAGTAGCTATGACGAAAGGTAGCAGTGGTGTAGCAGGTGCTGAGCAGGAGTCCAAGGAGAGGAAACTCCCAGGGGCTGGGGGATGTGGGAGTCAAAAGTCTCCTGAAGAAGGTGGCATTTCAAGAGAGGAAAGGGTTAGAGTGGTAATAGGTGGCAGCAGAGGGAGAAGCAGGCACGTTGCATCGGGATGCAGAGGGACGGAAAGATGAGAGGCTCTTGTAGACCATGTGAGAGGTAATGAGGGACCAGAACTAGAAAAAGACACATTTAAGAGAAAACACAGAAGTGGTAGACAAGATAGGACTTGGCAGCTACCTGATGAGATGAGGGAGGGAGGCAGCAAAGATGACTCAGGTTTCCAGCCTTCAGAACTAAGAGGAGAATGATGCCATTAACAGGAATAAGAACAGCAGGAGAAGGAGCTGGACTGAGGGAAAAGATTAATTTGGTTTGGAGTGTGTGGCATGTGAGGTAATGGCAGGACATCTAAGTGGACAGATTGTCTAGACATTTGAAAATTCCAGTCAAGCTTCAGCACAAGGCAGTGGCTGGAGATAACAGACTTGAACGCTGTTTCTTAAGAGGGCTGGTTAAGGTTGGGGAGTGGATGAAATCAGCCTGGGGAAGGAAGAAGAGGTCCTTTGACAAACCGTGGGGACTGATTATATACGAAGGGTGGAAGAAAGGGACAGGGACAGACAGAAGGAAGAAGAGAGGTAGGAGGAGTCTCTTGGTGCTTTGTCACCAGGCCGTGGCAGGAGAATGTTTAAAGAAGAGTTTAATCCACAGGGGGCCAATGCACGTTTGTTGTACTGAATTGACCACCAAATAACAGTGGAACCTAACTGAAGTTCAAGAGGGATTTATATGGCCCCATCAGCATGAGTGGTGGTGTCCTTCTCCAGCACCATCTGGAGGCTGTGGAAGAGAAAAGGGGACAGCTGGAGAGTGGAGAAGGGAACTAACCGTGAGACCCAGGCTGAGTAGGGAGGTGTGAAGCCAGAATGGGGAAGAGCCGGCAGTGACTGGCCTGCAGCTGCAGAGGGTCACTGCGCAGCCGGTGCCGCGGAGGGAAGGAGCGGACGTTGTAGAAACACAAGGAAGTGCCGTTGGAGAAGAGCAGGAGTCAGCGGACTGCGGTCCATGGACCAAGTGCAGCCTTCCTCCTGGTTTTGTAAAGGAGGGTTTACAGTTTACATGTAGCTGCTTTTGTGCTACAGTTGAACACCGTCCAGCCCTTCACAGAAAAAGTTTACTGACCCTGACAAAGAGTTTCCGGGTTTGAGATTTGGTGGTGGCCTCAGCTGGAGTAACAGTGAAACTGAATGAGGAGCTGGACAAGCCACTTGTGTGGCTGAAAGGCAGCGGTGGCGGTCATTGGAGAGACACTGAGGAGCTCTGCAGCCAGCATCCCACGAACGTGGCCGGCCAGAGTGCCGAAACCTCCTAAGTGTGAAGGGGGGCGGGGTGGGGGACTGGAAGGCTGAAGTTATTGACGAAAGGGACACAGCCGCCTGCAGGTGCCAGGAGCCTTCAGGAAAATCAGACAAGGGGGACGTGAGCATGAGGAAATGTTCCTAGATGTGCAAGCCTCACGGACAGGTCGCAAGGTGTTTACAGACACTTTAGGTGGGACACGTAAATCCCTCCTGCCTCTGCCCCTCCAGTGAGTAGCAGCAGGGAGAGGAGGAGCACTGGTGTGTGGGTGGAAAAAGGGGTCACAGTGCTCACTGTTCTGTAAATGTGTGACAATCTGTGAGAAGATGACGTAGCTTGTGGCCGACGGAACGGGGTTCTGAAGACACGCAGTGGAAGCGGCTGATGGGAAGTAGCTAAGAGGCTGTGGGAGCATGGGGCCAAGGTGCCCAGGAGTAGGTGCAGCCAGCCCCACACATCCAGGTGAGCCTGGTGGTTTGAGTAGAAGTGCCCGTTGTCCCTTCTGAGCCTGGGCACCCCACTGACGGATAAAAACAATGTGCCTTTCTTCTAGGGAAGCCATCCAGCTCCCCAAAAACCAAATTCTGGTCCTCCTGGGATGGCAGTGCGAGGAGGTGACCTGTGCAGTCCTGCTGCCCTTCCCCAGGCGGGGAGGCTTCCTCTGCTACAGCCTTGGAGGACGGGGTTCCAGTTCATCCGGTCCGCTTACTTGTTTCTTTAGTCACCCAAACGATAGATTTTAGAGACAGGGGCTGGGTAGTGGGCCATTTCCTGGCCTCCTGACACCCTTGGTATTTCTAGGTCATGCTGTTTTTGTTTTTTAAAACAAAACATGTATTTGTTTGTATTTCTGATTTTAAAAGGCTAAAAAATTTTTGTTGAGTGGAAAGATACATTCTCAACACGCTAAAATTCTGTCGACGGGAAAAGAAGGAGTTAGGTTGCTGGAGAGGCCCAGCTGAGGTGTCAGAATCCCTGTGTGCTTCTGGGAGTTCTGTGCATCTTACCTCCTGCCCTCCCCCCTTCCCTTTGTTGGATCCACAGGCCGTACTTAGGAGCTGGGCAAGCCACCCTAGCTGAGTCACAAGCCCACATTTCACTCGCCTTTTCTGCTCGTCAGGAATCCGGTGTGGCCCCCACCCCCACCCCGGGCAGGGGAAGGGACAGGCTCACCACTGCTGTCTTAATTCACTTTCTTTTCCATCTTGTTCTGCAGGGGTGTTCCCTCAACAAATATCACCCCCATCCAGTTCAAGGCTATGAGCACAGCAATCTCAGACACCAGCAGCTGGGGCTGGGATCTCATCCTAATAGTTTCCAGCTCCAGCAAATAGAGTTTCTCAAGGGGCGGCTCACAGAAGTACCCTTAATTGGAAAGCAGACACCGTCACTGCCACCGTTCTTCCCTGGACTCCAGCCAGGGTTTCCAGGACCACCTGCCAGAGGCAGGCAACAAGAGATCTGGGGTGTCCCCAGGGGCGTGCCTCTCAGAAGTCAGGTGCTCCCGAGAAGTTTCCAGCATCCTTCCCCACGTGGCTGGGTTCGTCCATGGAGAGGCGTTGATAGGCTCTCCTCACATTTCCAGGAACTGACTATCAGCCACGAACAAAGGATCTTGGGGCTCTTGGAGGAGCTTGGGGAAGGGAAGGTCACCACAGCGCATGATCTGGCTCGGAAGCTCCGGGTCCCAAAGAAGGAAATCAATCACATCTTATACTCTCTGGCAGAAAAGGGTAAGCTGCATCGGGAGGCAGGAACACCACCTCTGTGGAGAATTGCAGTCCCAGATCAGGCTTGGAACCAGCCCAGGCAAGTATCAAGAGCAGACAGTCATAGCCAGAGAGTTCCAAGCGCAGACCCCCGTTGGGAAACTGGGGACAGAAGCCCCACATCTGGTTTAGAAAATCCTCCTGAGCCTCTCGACATGGCTGAGATCAAGGAAAAGATCTGCGACTACCTGTTTAACGTGTCCAACTCCTCTGCCCTGAATTTGGCTAAAAACATTGGCTTCACCAAGGCCCGAGATGTGAATGCCGTGCTGATTGACTTGGAGAGGCAGGGAGATGTCTACAGGCAAGGGACGACCCCTCCCATATGGTATTTGACTGACAAGAAGCGGGAGAGGATACAAATCAAGAGAAACATGAACAGTGTTCCCGAAACCACTCAAGCTGCTATCCCGGAGACCAGAAAAGTCACAGAGCCCCCCACCTGCCACTCAGCCGTGTCAGACACCTCAAACAGCACGGTCACCACAGAGAAAGTGGAGAATGGGCAGGAACCTGTTGTAAAGTTAGAGCCTAAGCAAGAAGTCACACCAGAACCAATAAAACTGAAACCACCTGCTCATGACAACGGCCCCCCAAGAGCAGGGTATGCTGACTTTGAAAATGGCCAGTGGGCCACAGATGACATCCCTGATGACTTGAACAGTATCCACGCAGCACCAGGTGAGTTTCGAGCCATCATGGAGATGCCCTCCTTCTACAGTCATGGCCTGCCGCGGTGTTCACCCTACAAGAAACTGACCGAGTGCCAGCTGAAGAACCCCATCAGCGGGCTGTTAGAATACGCTCAGTTCGCTAGTCAGACCTGTGAGTTCAACCTGATAGAGCAGAGCGGACCACCCCATGAACCTCGGTAAGAGACCACCCAGGAATTGTACCTAAGGTTGGGGTCAGGCGCCCTTGCTCCTGACGCAGTCTCGGCTAACTCGTGAGCAGTGCCGGTTGGTGGCCCCTGTTTTTTCCCTCTTCCTGCCCCTGTCTATGGGCTAAATCACCCTCATTGGCCCTTCCTCCATGTCCTGAGCAGGGAACGTAGACCTCGGCCCAGCCAGAATCTTGGCCGAGCAAGGGGGAGGTTGACACGATGGGCTAAAATGTAGCTTCTTGGGAGATGATTAGTTTCCACACATCAGTGTCATGCCTGCCTCCTGAGGCCAGAGGTAATGAAGACGACGCCTTTCTCAGCCCTCTTCCACATGCCATCCTCCCTTCCCCTGAGCTGAGTTCCCCAAGAGGGCGCAGGGACAGGAGGGTTGGGGCAGACTGCACACGGAGAGTAAGGGTGGGTTGTGCTGCTAAGTAGCAGCGGGTCCAAACTGCTCCCCTCCCTGCTCGGCTCCTGTAAGGACAGGATGCTGTAGCGTGCGCACGGCTGCCTGCCTGTTGAAGGTGGTGGTTCTAATTTTACACACCACCTCTGCACAGATGGGTGGGCTAGCACTTGCTGCTGTTCCTAAGCTGTGAAATCAGAAATTACCTCACTCAGACAGCTGGCTCGGCCCTGCACCGTAAGCTCTTACAAGCCAGCAGACAGATTGGGGAAGACAGGTGGTGGGCCCAGAAGGAGCCGCCTCAGGGCCCAGCAGAGAGCTGAGGCCGCTGAAGCTGAGTGGCCGCTCACCACAGCTGGAGAGCGTGCCGGGGGCCAGGAGAGAAACCCACTCACCTGTACACTAACTGTAGGCTGGCTCCTGAGGGTAAGGATTCCCAGCTGTGACCCTTACTCCTTACCCTGACCGTCTTCATGGCACTGAGATGGCATTGCAGGAGAGCTGTTAAGAAGAGGGGTCTGTCTGTCTGAAAGCTGGCAGGGCCGGGACTGGTTTGCTTCTGTTTGGGGTGGAGACTGGGTGGCTGTCGCTCTCTTTCTTCTCCCTCCATCCCTCCGCAGAGGTGGGGAACCTTTCTTTGGACTCCAGCTATAAGAAACGTTGATGCCATGTTCAGATATTTCAGAAGACCCAGGAAATAAGAAATTTGACCTACTTTTCTAAATGAAATCCCAGATTGAGCAAAGAGCTGAACAAATTTGAGAGCTTTGTACAAAGGCGGTCTAAGCTCCGTCCAGAGGCCTAGAACAAATACTTTTTGGTTCTCTGCATAACACGGGGAAATTCCTTTCATCGCAGGCTGCAGACAAATAGAGCTATAGGATGACTCAAACCAGGAGAGTGGTGTCTCTCACGAGTAGGCTGGGGAGAAAAACAGGCCCCCAGAAGCGGCAGGTACTGATCCCGGTAGGCATCTAGGGAGTGTGAGACTGTGCTGTAGGAAGCTTTTGCTTTCTCTAGGGATTGCCCTTGAGGTGACCAGTCTGCCACCACTGCTTTAGGATAAAAGGGTTTTGGTTGCTAACGAGATGGTAATGGTAACAGTGATGTTATTAGCTCATCATTTCTTGTACAGACTTTATCTTAGTTCATTGCTGAAAGATAGTGGGTTTCCCTTGAGCTAGTTTCATGTGTTCACCTGTGGCTGTATGTTTGCTCTAATGAGCTATGGGGAGAGAGTCACTGGCTGCTTTGTTTCCAAAAGTAGGACTAGGCTGAGCCTCCAAAGGGACAGGAGTCCCTTGGCCTACCCTCCGTCTCCTCTGCAAGTCAACAAGCCCCTTAGTGTAACAGGAGATTTCAGGGTGAAGATCGCTTTGGAGAGGGCAGAAGGGATGGCCTAGACTAGTGTTCACACATCTAATCACTTTCCATCAAGATTTAAATTCCAAGTTGTCATCAGTGGCCGAGAGTTTCCCCCAGCTGAAGCTGGCAGCAAGAAAGTGGCCAAGCAAGATGCAGCTATGAAAGCCATGACAATTCTGCTTGAGGAAGCGAAAGCCAAGGACAGTGGAAGATCAGAAGAATCCTACTACTCCTCCTCGGAGAAAGAGTCAGAGAAGGTAGGTGTCCCGCCCTCCAGGAGGGCATCAGGTCACTTTCCGAGTCTGGGAAGTGTCAGAGCTTTAGCTGACCCTCCTGAAGTAGCCTCAGCCTACGCAGTCGACTCTCTGTCTCAGAGTCAGGGCCTACTCCTCCCTCCACCCCCCCCCCAGCCCGCCTTCCCTCCGCTTGTACCCAGCTCCCCTTCCGGCCCCACCCCCCACCTAACTGGAATTGCAGAATTTCAGAGTCGAAAGAGATGTTAAAAATTATCAAGTCCAATCTCCTCTCTTGGCAGATAAGAAATGGAACCAAGAACATTTAAATAACTGACCCTTTCCTGTAAATGCCTAGAAAATCCCTGCAACCCTCTTCCTTTGGAAAGCCAGCCCCAAACGTGCAGTTGATCCAAGAAATTCTCCCGTCCCCGTTCCCTCTGCCGTGGTGGAACAGTCAATGTTTCCTTAGTTTGTTTGTTTGTTTGTTTGTTTTGTCTCTCATTCTCTCCAGACTGCAGAGTCCCAGACTACCACCCCTTCAGCAACATCCTTCCTTTCTGGGAAGAACCCCGTCACCACACTGCTTGAGTGTGTGCACAAGCTGGGGAGCTCCTGTGAATTCCGCCTCCTATCCAGAGAAGGCCCTGCCCATGACCCCAAGTACATCTCTTGTATCATGTATCTCTGCTGAGGTTTTCTCAAAAAAGAGAGAGATACATTTTCCTCCTTGCCTCCCCAGAGATGGCAGCTAATTTCACTGAGCAATCACTCCTGTTTTCAATATGGAAAATGGGGGGCCTTGAGAGCATGGTTGCTGCTTGTGGAGCAGAGCATCTGGGATTAGGAATTCAAAGGGCAAAGCAGGGACCAAGCACGAGGGAGATACACGGCTTGGAGGTTACTAGTGGTGGGACTGAAAGGTGCAAGACCTGGGCGTACCCGGGACGCTCTCTGCTCTGAGGCTCTGCAGGCTCACATGTTCAAGAGAAGGGTTCCTGGAGGAGGTGAAATTAGGTGGATGCTTAAATGTTGAATAGGGGTTAGCCAGGCCGAGAGAGACTGGGGGCAGGAGGAGGGTGAAAGGCACCGGCTCTTCAAGGCAGAAGTGACTGCGTGAGCCAAGGCACAGAGGTGATGTGTACAAGGAAATGACAAGTCGTGAAGGATGACAACCTGACAAAGGCTAGGTAAAGCTCTTCCATCAAAACTGGCTTAATCCTCTCCTTTCGTCTCCTGTCAGGTTCCAGTACTGTGTTGCAATGGGAACCCATACTTTCCCCACTGCGAGTGCCCCCAGCAAGAAAGCGGCAAAGCAGATGGCTGCAGAGGAGGCCATGAAGGCCCTGCACGGGGAGGCAACCAACTCGACATCTTCTGATGACCAGGTGTGGCCATTCTCAACTCCAGAGATACAGGTCATTTTTAGCAACCCAGGGAAGGAGGGTATGGCTCAGAGGTAGTGTGTGCTTAGCGTGCACAAGGTCCTGGGTTCAATCCCAAGTACCTCCATTAAAAATAAATAAATAAACCTAATTACCTCACCTCCCCCCTCAAATAAATTTTTAGCAACTGAGTGGCTCAGGATTGCCCATGAGTCCCTCACAGTTTCTATTAAACGTTGATGGTTCCTCTTTGGCCGATTCTCCTGCAGCCCGGAAGCACAAACACGGAATCATTTGATAACCTGGAATCTGTGATGCCCAACAAGGTCCGGAGGATTGGCGAGCTCGTCAGATACCTGAACACCAACCCCGTGGGCGGCCTGTTGGAGTACGCCCGCTCCCACGGCTTCGCGGCCGAGTTCAAGCTGGTTGACCAGTCTGGGCCTCCTCATGAGCCCAAGTGAGTGTCGTCTTGGCTACAGCCATGTGTCACAGAGTGGGGACAGCCTATAACCCCGGGGAAGAAGGGATGTGCGTTAGCTAGGGGTGACAGGAGGGGCAGGTCCAGCCCTGTCCCCAGGGCCTCTGAGAAGCCAGTACATCAGCCATCTTGAGAAGGCAGTCACTCTTCCAGGGAGCGTGATCCTTTGTAATTTTTTAAACTAATTTTAATTTTTAAAGGAATATGTATGTCCGTAGAAAATCATTCAAGCTGATTGAAAAAAATGTGCAACGAAAAGTCTCATTTCTATCTCAGACTTCTAGTTTCCCTCCACAGGCTCATACACTATTACCAGTTTCTTGAGTCCTTCTAGAAATCTCCATGCATATATGAGCACATTTTCCTTTCTCTTTCTTTTTTAAACAAAAGGATTATATATCATATCTTCTGTTCTGCACCTTGACTCCTTTACTTACCATTGTCTAAGAAATAATTACAAATAAGCATGTATAGATGTACCCGACTCTTATGCACAGCTACATAATACTTCATTAAATAGATGCTCACAGTTTTTAAATTGCCTTATTGAGCAAGAGATGTAAAAATTCTTTTCGAAATGGACCCCCAGCTACCTACTACCCAGTACTCTTTCTACCTAAGAAAAAGAACGTTGCTATTACTGTCTGAAGCCCCACCTTGCATAATTTATTTAACCAACTTCCAGTGATATCCAGGCTGGTCTTGGTTTTGCTGTTAGAAGCGCTCCCGCAGGGCCCTGTATGTTCTCACACGTGCAGACTTGTCTGTGGTGTAAATTTTCCGGAGTGGAATTTGTTGGCCATGGGTCATCTACATTGTTGTTTTTTTTTTAATGTGCATTGTTTTTTAAGTTGTTTTAATAGGTAATAGACTGTACATAGTTTTTAAATATTATTCAAAAATAAAAATATAAAATGTTCATTCTCACTTTGGCCCTGCTCTCACCTACACACACACACACACACACACACACCCCAACACACTAACATGTAATAATAACTTTACATTATTATGTATCCTTCCAGAGTATCTTTATATAAATACAAGCAAGTATATTCTCCCTTTTTGTTACACAGAAACACATATATGCATGGATTTCTAGCTTGCTATTTACATACAGCAGTATTATCTCGGAGAGTTTTTCATGTCACTTTATATTCTTTATATACAGCTGTGAAGTATAGTGTTCCAGTGTATGGGTTTATCGTGGTTTACTTAACTGGCCCCCTATTGATGAATACTTGAATTGCTCCCAAACTTTTGCTATTATAAATAAGGCTGCAATGAATAACATGTACATGTGCATTTAAAATTTTGGTAAATTTTGCCAAACTTTCCTCCAATGAAATTATACCTGTTTATGCTTCCATCAACAGTAGATAAAGAATGGCTCTTCCTCTACACCATGAGCATTCTAAAATGCGAAAAGTGGTATTTCAGTGCAGGGCAAAGACTAGTCTACATTAGGATATTTATTATTGTTATTTGCCACATTAATAGATCAAAGGAGAAACACCACATGATCATCTCCAGAGATTCTGAAAAGGCATTTAGTAAAATTCATCATCCATTCAGATTAAGAAACCAAGCAGTTTATAAAATAGAAGTTATTGAACGCATCCTTTGCATGATAAAAATACATGTCTGAAGTCAAAAGCCAGCCTCTTACTTAATGTTGAACTAGAATTATTCCCACTGACATTGGGAGGGAGGTGTGGATGCCAGTGTCGCCGTGATTTAATACTATTCTGGAATTACTAGCAATGCAGTCAGTTCAGAGAAAGAAGTAAGTGTAGAGAGGAAAGGGGGAGGTGAAGTTACCTTTATTTGCAGATGATAACAATAGTATACCTGGAATATTCATGAGAAAGCTGAAGAAATATTAGAGACAAAGGAGAATTTAGGAGAGCAGGGGACTACACTGATGTATAAGAATCGAGAACTTCTCTGTGTACAGCAATAAGCAGGCAGAAAATGTCCTGTCTGCAGCGTCAACTAAGAAGATAAGCAACCCAGGCACATCCCGGCGGGGACCATGTTGGCTCCGCATTCAGTGAAGTGCTGCTGAGGGGTGTGAGGCAGGCTTAATTAAATGGGGGGAATACTCTTATTAGATACAAAAATCTAATGTAATGACAGCAGCTGTCCCCAGATTAACCTTTACCTTTAATGTGATCCCGATAAAAACACCACTAGAACTTGTTTATTTTAGAACTAGAGAACTTGATCCTGAAGTTCGTATGAAAAATAAACATGCAAGAAGAGCTAGGAAAATTCTGGAAGAGTAATAAGGTATAAAGACCCTAGCAGATGTCACAGTGGTGTCATGTTGGCTTGTGGATAGGAAAGGCAGATCGGTGAACACAGTGAAGCACCTAAAAGTCGACACAGGTATAAGTGGGAGTTCTGTCCATTACAAAGATGAGGCTTCAAATCAGTGGGGAAACAATGGGTTATTCAGTAATGGTGTTGAAACTGCTGATCCATCTGGGGGGAAGAAACAGCTGAATGTCTGTCTCCTTCCCTATACCTAAAGTCCATTGGATGGCGTATTTAAATACAAAATAAATTAAATCATAGAATCACTAGATAAAAAGTGAGGTTTTTGTGGGGTTTTTTGAAATTTTGGAGTGGCAAAAACCTTTCTAATCAAGACACAGAACATAAAGGAAAGAAGTCATAAAGGAAAAGGATAGGAAATGTGACTATAAGAAAATTGGTGTACAGTGCAAGTTCCACCTGAGGGAAAAACACTTGCCATACACAACAGCCCAAGGTTAATTTCTTTAATATGTAGGGGCTTGTTTTCAATCTAATAGAAAAATAGACAAAGTGTATGAACTGAACATTTACAGAAAAAGAAACAATGAATTATTAATAAATGAAAAAAAGTACTGAACCTCACATTGTATGTTAAATTTACATGTTGTCAATATATTTTAGCAACAGTGATATAATTCATCATCCGCTTTATAGCCAAGCATAAAGTGATGCTTCAACCTAGCAATGCCGCCTCTAGGAATTCACACACACATGCATGCATGCGTTGTGCATGATACAAGTACAGAGATGTTCATTGCAGCATTGTTTATAATAGCACAAGACTTGAAGCGGTCTAAAGCTCCATCATTTGCAGACTGGCTAAGTAAACAGATGTGTCCATGCTTGGGAATACTATACACCCATTAAAAGAGCAAGGCACATCTATATGAAATGATCTCTCGGGTATACTCCTAGTGAAAAAGCAAGGTGCAAAGTGAGGGGAGAGGTATAAATAGTGTGCTTCTATATACATAGAAAATTTTCTTGAAGGATTTTAAAAAGCTGGTAACAGTGTTTGCTTCTAGGGGAAGAAGGTCGCTCACTTTTCACATATACTCTTAACTGTTTGAATTTTCACTTGTGTGGTATCCAACTTTTCAAACGTAAAAAGTCATTAAGGAGAAAAGTTCATAAAAGTGATATCTTATTATTTTAAATTTGTCTTAATAGTAAGTAACAGTATTCATCTATTCACGATTATATGTTACTTGTATTTCCTTTTCTGTGAACCATCTATTCTTGTACTTGTCCATTTTTGTTTTGGCTGGTTACTCTTTACTGATATGTAAGAGCATTTGACATAAAAAACAAAAACAAAACAAAACTAATACTTTCACCAGCATGACCCAACTTAGAACATTCAACCTGGAGGGGGCCAGAAAAGGCCTTCTCATCCTGTCCTTGTGGCAGGATGGATGCAGTCACATGAGAGAGACCCTGGGAGTCTGCCCTTTGTGTGCAGCCATCCAGGAAAGCAAGGGGCTGCTCCCCAGCCGCTCTTCTGCTAGGTCATATCCTTCCCTCTCAGTAAGCCCCGCTTATCTTTAACCTCATCCTTCACATGGTAGGTTCAGTTCATTTCTCTCTTTTCTTCCCTTCCGTCAAATGTATAAAATGATTTTCAGGACTTCAAGTCAGTCATTCAGGCAGGATTTCAGAACTGGATTAAAGATAGGAAAAAGTCCTGCCCCTGCACATACTGCAGACACGCAGTCACAGCACAGTGCTGCAGTGAGCCATCGTGGAGGTAAATGCAGGGTGCTGTGGGGACACAGAGCACATTGCAACCGGTGTCCCCTGGGGAGTCAAGGAAGGTTGCATACAGGAGGGGAAATACTCATTTAGTAGCTACATTTATTGACGGCCTGATATAGTAACACATGTTACTCCAGTCTTGATGTGAACTGTGCTGGGTCCTTTTTTTTCCTTTCTTTCTACTCTTCTTGGCAACCTTACCTGATTTCATGACTTTTAATATGGAAATACTGTAGACTGCTAAGTTTGTATCTCTAGCCCAGACCTTCTCAGAGCTCCCGATTCCTCTGTCCAGCTGCTTGCTTGTCAGTTCTTGGATAGACGCCCCTAACGTGACATGTCCAGAGTAGAGCTCTTGACTTTTGCCCCCTTAACCTCTTTTTCTGCCCACCTTTTCCATCTCAGTAAATGATGCCACTGTTCACCCAACTGCTCAAGCCAAAAACCTGAGGACCGTCTCCCCGATCCCCCTCACCCCCATCAGCCAAACCGTCCTCAAGTTCCATTTATTGTACCAACAATTTCTATCTCAGATCCCTTCCTCCTCTTTCCTCCTCTAGTGTCAGCACTCTCGGCTAAGCCACTGTCCTCTCTCACCTAAACCATGGTGCTAGTCTCCTGGTCTCCCTGCTTTACTTATTCATTCAAGAAGTGTTTATAGAGTACATTGTACTTGTTAGAACAGGAGGCAGGTATTAATAATCGCATAGAGAAATGTAACATCTCCTATTTGATACATATTATAAAAGGTGTGAGTTACAAGATGCGGTGAGAATTTATATAGCATGGCTTGACTCAGTAAGGAGAGGGGAGCAGCCATCTCCAAGCAGTGACACTGAGCTGAGACCTTAAGGACGATTAAGAGAGAAGGAGTGAGGGTTCCAGACAAAGGAGATAGTACCCCTGCATCCACAGAGCTGGTAAAGGGCTGCAGGAAGGCCGGTGTAGGGGAGCAGAGAGCAAAGGGAGGCCTGATGCCAGATGAGACTGGAGGGGGACCTTGTGGGCCATGTAATGCTCCTGCCACACAAGCAGTGGAAAGCCACTGAAGGCTTTTAATGTGTCACCTGCCCCCGCAACCCCTACTTTTGCCTTCCTTCCCCGCGTTTTTCCTACTATATTTTTGTTTTAAATTCTCTTTCCTACTCAGAAAACCATTTCAGACCTTTGCCTCTTTCTTCAGCTTTCCACCAGAACCCCTCTTTCTCACTCTAAACTGACAACCTTACTTCGCACTTGAGAAATTAGCAGTAATCCTCTGACAGGTACCGTCCCTTCCAATCACCAAATCCACCTTCCTACCTGCATCCGTGCGCTGCATCTGTGCCAGTAGGTGGGGAGCATCCTTCTTCCACCCTGCGTCCTGGATCCCCTTCCCCCTCGTCTGCTCCCACATTTACCTCCCTCTCTTGTCATCACTTGCTCCCTCTGTTGGGTCACTCCCATCGGCCTACAAACATGCCCTCGCCCATCTTCTAAAAACCTTCCCCTGACCCAGCGTCTCCCTCCAGGTCCCACCTCGTCTCTCTGCTCCCCTCACAGCCAAACCTCTTCAAAGAATTGTTTCCACTCAGTGTCTTCATTGTCTTCATTTTCTTAACTCATGCCAGTTGGGCTTTTGTCCCCAGCATTACACTTAAAAGGCTAGACATTAGCCATGTGTGGTTACTGAGCACTTGAAATGCGGCTTGTGTGACTGAGGAACTGAATTATTGTGCTGAATTTTAATTAAAGTTAATAGCCTTGTGTGGCTAGTGGCTGTCACATTGGACAGTGCAGCTCTAGTGGGTTCTAATCGCAAAACTAACAAACTTTACCTTATATGCATGTACAGGTATGTATGTGTGTGTATTTGTGTACATATGTATATGTCTTTGTGCGTAAGAGCTCATGTTCTTTTCAAACACACAGAACACTCAGAAAATTCTCCTGGATCCCACAGGGAAAGATCCTGCAAGGTTTAGCCCCTACCCCCTGGGCAACATTTTTTCACACCGCTGTCCTTTTCCTTTACTGAACTTTAGCCCACTGGCCTGTGCAAACCTGTCAGCATCGTCAAAGAAAGGAGCAAAGGCATTCAGCTGCTTAGGATAAGCAAGAAATAGTGAGAAGCTCGGTGTGGTTGAACGTAAAGATTGATTCCTTTTACTGCCTGAGCTGATTGAGAAATCTTGATGCTGAAAGCTTTGTTATATGCAGTTGGATTATCCAAAGCTGGGTTCCCCAGAGCAGATTAGGATCTGGTTGAAAGCGAAGATTCTTGAAATCTTGTCTGGTAGCCGCCCAAGCTGTTTCGCTCCTTCATGCTCTTCCCTCTGTGTTTGTGGAGATCCCCAGTCAGGAAGGGAGGGGACCTCCAGGGCCCCCTAGTGGCACCACCTGCCTCCCTGCTCCACCTGTGCGCTTCCCATCAGCAGAGCGCACAGCCCAAGATGCACTCTTCTCCCCCTCAGCCATCACATGGCTCCCAGGAGTTGAAAGATAACTCCTTGTGAAGGTGTGGGTCCGTGATCTGAGGCAGAACCTGACACACTAACCTCTCCAGGTTAGGTCCTCTTGAGCTAATCAGGAAATGGAATCAGGTACTTTAAAAATCAGAGCATTAAAAAACAGTGATTCAGTAGGGAGAAGGTTACTTCCTTCTCTTTTCTGCTTAAGTTACGAAGAAAGTCCACGTGTGTTAGTATTTCTTTAAACCCTCTCTGATACTTGCTAAACTTCCTTTATAATAAAGAGAAGTCTAGAGCTTTACAGGCAATAGTGTCCTGTCAGAATTTAATAACATGATTTTATCATATTCAGTTTTACAGTGACCTTCAAGTTATGGCAAGTGATACTGGTTTTCCATTTACAGTAATGACACGACATTTCCTTTTAAAATGTATTTATATATTTTTAACTTTTTTATTGAGTTATAGTCATTTTACAATGTTGTGTCCAATTCCAATGTAGAGCACAATTTTTCAGTTATATGTGAACATAGATATATTCATTGTCACATTTTTTTTCGCCATGAGCTACCACAAGATCTTGTATATATTTCCCTGTGCTATACAGTATAATCTTGTTTATCTATTCAACATATGCCTGTCAGTATCTACAAATTTCAAACTCCCAGTCTATCCCTTCCCACCCCCGCCCTTAGCAACCACAAGTTTGTATTCTATGTCTATGAGTCTGTTTCTGTTTTGTATTTATGTTCTTCTTTTTATTTTTTTCAGATTCCACATATGAGCGATCTCATATGGTATTTTTCTTTCTCTTTCTGGCTTACTTCACTTAGAATGACATTCTCCAGGAACATCCATGTTGCTGCAAATGGCGTTATGTTGTCTTTTTTATGGCCGAATAGTATTCCATTGTATAAATATACCACATCTTCTTTATCCAGTCATCTGTTGATGGACATTTAGGCTGTTTCCATGTCTTGGCTATTGTAAATAGTGCTGCTATGAACATTGGAGTGCAGGTGTCTTTTTTGAAGTAGGGTTCCTTCTGGATATATGCCCAGGAGTGGGATTCCTGGGTCATATGGTAAGTCTATTCCTAGTCTTTTGAGGAATCTCTATACTGTTTTCCATAGTGGCTGCACCAAACTGCATTCCCAGCAGCAGTGTAGGAGGGTTCCCCTTTCTCCACAGCCTCTCCAGCATTTGTCATTTGTGGGCTTTTTAGTGATGGCCATTCTGACTGGTGCGAGGTGATACCTCATTGTAGTTTTGATTTGCATTTCTCTGATAATTAGTGATATTGAGCATTTTTTCATGTGTCTATTGATCATTTGTATTTCTTCCTTGGAGAATTGCTTGTTTAGTTCTGCCTATTTTTGGATTGGGTTGTGTATTAATATTTTTAAAGGGTCAGTTTAGAGAAAAACACTAAGAAAGTAAGAATCCAGATGACATCTGGATCTAGCAGAAATCACATTGTGATTCATGAATGCCCAAAGTCCGGGAAATGCTGCCTTAGAAACAGAGTGGTGGGTATTGGCAACACTGGCCGCATCTGGGGCAAAACCAGCCCTTCTCTGGAACAGCCAGCAGGTCAGGTGCTTGTCTTTATTCCCTGTCTCTCATCCCAAAGGTTCGTTTACCAAGCGAAAGTTGGGGGGCGCTGGTTCCCAGCCGTCTGCGCGCACAGCAAGAAACAAGGCAAGCAGGAAGCGGCAGATGCGGCTCTGCGCGTCTTGATCGGGGAGAACGAGAAGGCAGAGCGCATGGGTTTCACAGAGGTAACCCCAGTGACAGGGGCCAGTCTCAGAAGAACTATGCTCCTCCTCTCAAGGTCCCCAGAGGCACAGCCAAAGACAGTTAAGACGTCTACTTTTGGTGCTATCTTTTATGGGGGTCCTGCTAACTCCTCTCCGGGGGGAGTCAGCTCTTAACTTACTGGCATGTGAATTATCCCTCGGCTTTCATATCTGCCTCGCTGGAACATAGACCTGGGACACTAGATGTGAGAGGGGGAAAGGTGACTCACAAGTCGAGCAGGCCTCAGTCCCCGTGCCCACTCTGAAACATGTGGACGTGGACAAGGCTCTGTGGCCCTGACACAGCCCCCTGTCCCCACAGCTTCCTCTCACGGGCAGCACCTTCCACGACCAGATAGCCATGCTGAGCCACCGGTGCTTCAACGCCCTCACCAACAGTTTCCAGCCCTCCTTGCTTGGCCGCAAGATCCTGGCTGCCATCATCATGAAGAAAGACTCTGACGACCTGGGTGTTGTGGTCAGCCTGGGGACAGGTCAGTGGGCGTCCCCCACGGTGACTGGAAGCGTCTCCTCGTTCTCTCCTGGGGGCCGGTGTGGGTGGATTTAAGGCACAGAGAAGACCCTTCTTAAGTTTCATTTTCACTCCAGTTAATTCAGAGCAGGGAACGTATTATCGTTGCCCAGAGAAAGGAGTATGGGATCAGGAGCTGAGAAACCGAGGCTGTTTCTGCCTTCAGGCTTTAAGAGCACACAGCCTCTCCCCTAGTCCTCATCGTTTTCCTTTGGAAATTTCCCATTTGCTTTAACTGCCTTCCCAGGGAATCGCTGTGTGAAAGGAGATTCTCTGAGCCTAAAGGGAGAAACCGTCAACGACTGCCACGCAGAGATCATCTCCCGGAGAGGCTTCATCAGGTGAGTGGGCATGGAGCCGCTTACAGACTAAGTCCCTTCTGTGGCCCGGCTGCATCCCGCTACTCAGCCTGCTGTTTGAGAGTTCTCCCTCTTCTTGCTAACTCCACTTTGAGTCCTTTTTTAAAACACACAGTGACCGCAGCCTTCAGCACTGTAGGGATGTGGAAGCCTTCCCTCTCCCTCTGAGGAACTCTCTGAAACCCCCTGTCCTGTCAGCTCTCTTCTCCAGTTCACCTTGTCTTTATTTTGGGTGGGGGGAGAGGCGGGAGGTCATTAGGTTTGGTTTTCTTTCTTTCTTCCTTCCTTCCTTTCTTCCTTTCCTTTCCTTTCCTTTCTTTAATAGAGGTATGAGGGGTTGAACCCAGGACCTCGTGCGTGCTAAGCACACACTCTACCACTGAGCTGTACCCTCCCCCCACCACCTTTTCTTTAATTTATGGACAAGAGATGTGGGGAGAAGCGGCAGCCCCCTAGAGTCCTGGAGTCCACTGGTTCTGCCCTAGAATCCCTGTAGCTGCCATGGCACAGAGCTCTTGGCAGAGATGGAACACACCTGAAGGGCTAACTTAGCTTTAAGAAATGCCGAGGTCTCCCATGGGGAATTTCCCACCACCTCTTTCAACCGAGAAACCATGAAAGTTCTGCACCGTTAAGGCTTTTCCTTACATGGGATCAGATTATAGAAGCAACTGCTCTTCCCAGAATCAAACCGTCTTCTTCACCAGTCTTTCTTCTCGTAGGTTTCTCTACAGCGAGTTAATGAAATACAACCCCCAGACCGCAAAGGACAGTATATTCGAGCCTGCTAAGGGAGGAGAAAAGCTCCAAAT